TGTCTCCACATTCACCCTGATGGCCTGGCTCTTAGCCCTTCAGAATGTGACCTTATTTGGACATAGCAATTGCCTAGGATGAGCTCAGTAGGGTGAGCCCTCTTCCAGTGACCAGTGACCAGTGCCCTGAGCAAAAGGAGAGGTGCGGACAGAAGGACAGCACAGGAAGCTGGCGGCAGACAGGGGAGGTCTCTACAGTCCCACGAAGTTCAAAGACCCACCCAAAGCCAAGAGGAGTGTGGAATGTATCCTTCACAATGTCAGACGTGTGTGTGCACGCACATGTGTGCTTGTGTGCATGCGTGCATGCGTTATCCTAAGCTTCTAGTCTCCAGAACCATGAGACAATAAACTCTGTCACTGAAGCCACACATTTGTGGTGCTCTGTTACAGCAAACCCAGGCCTTTCGCACTGAGCCTCACAGAACTTTGTCCTTTAGATTGATGGATAATAGTGTTGTCACCTGTAAAAATCAATGCTCCAGAAATCAGGGGAGAAGGATGGGTTTTATTAAGGGTGCCAGTGACCCGGAAAGGAGGTAGACTAATGCCCACACCCACTGCTCCCAAGACCAAGTGAGGAATCCCTAACAACCTGAAAGGATCAGGTTGGGGCTGAGTGCAGAAGGCGGTTTTCCTGGAGTTTGAACTGGAATGTCTGATGTTTTGACAGTGGCCGGAAGTGATGCTTGCCTAGTGACCTCCTAGTCTTATCTTGACAGTAAGAGACTCAGGAATGCGGACCAAGGAACAGGCATAAAGCAAGATGGAGCCACAGATGGCAACAGGCTGTCACAACACTTCCGGCTAATCAGATCCAATCAGGAAGCGTCATCAATGTGGAAAACTCCTGTGGTGTCTTTGGAATGCTCAGATAAGGTCAGTTCTTAGAGGCACAAGCAGAAGAAAGAAGTGGGTGAAGAGCTGATTAATTCCAGCTCACAGGTTAAGGGATATAGAATTTGGATTAATCCTGACTCACAGGTTAAGAGATATCGAATTTAGATTAATCCTGACTCACAGGTTAAGGGATACAGAATTTGGATTAATTCCAGCTCGCAGGTTAAGGGATACAGATTTTGGATTAATCCCGACTCACAGGTTAAGGGATACAGAATTTGGAATCAGAGGATAAAGGTTCTGGAAGCAGATGGTGGCTTTGGTTTCTAAAGCACTGCGAATGGACTGAATTACCCTGCACATGACGAACAGGGCCAGGGTGGGCTGGAGAGATGGTTCAGTGGTTGAGAGCACACACTGCTTTTGCAGAGGATCCCACCTTGGTTCCCAGCACCCACATGTCAGCTCACAACCATCTGTAACTCTAGTCCCAGGGAATCTACTTCCTCTGGCTTTCCCTGGCACCAGGCATGTATGTGGTTCACAGATATACATGCATGCAAAGCATGAGGTAGCCCTTCCATCTGCTCATCGCTGGGTCAGAGAGCAGGGCCTCAGTCCTCTGCCCCACTACCACTGGCTCCTATATCCTTTTAAAGGCAGTATTTTAACCCCGAGGCTCACCGCCTGCCCTGGCTGGCCTGGAACTCATGATACTCCTCTGCATCCCCCACTCTCTCTCTCTTTGGATTTTTGGTTTTTTGGAGGCAGGGTTTCTCTATGTAACAGTATTGACTGTCCTGGAACTCCCTTTGTAGACCAGGTTGGCCTCGAACTCACAGAGATGACTGGACTCTTGACATGGGACAGCACAGGACAGGACAGGACAGGATAGGACAGCTGCTTTTGGTAATGTCATGAAGAAGGGCCGACAGACTCTTTAACAGACCTTGTCTCCAGCCCAGAGGAGGACAAGCCTAAGGCCTAGTGCTGTCCCCTGGGGTCTCTCTAGACCAAGACTAGTCTTTCTGGTAAACTGAGAACTAGCCCCTTGCCTCAGGTCAGGGAAGGCCTTGTTGAGGTCCGCACCCACCCACTCACTCTGCTGTCGCTCTGAATTTGGGCTGCTGTCATCCGCTCCTGTCTCTCTGGGCCTCAATCTGGGTTCTCCAAGGGCAGCATCTGGTGTCCCCACCAGCATCCATGTGACGCTGACCAGTTCCTTGAGTTCTCAACTCCCAGTGATGCCAGCCACACTGCTGGGTGACACCCCAGCCCGGCCTGATCTGTACCTATAACAGCTCCTGTCTCCATCACGAGGGCCCTCTGTGACACATGAGTCCCGTCTCTGCCCTTCCTTACTCCTGTAACCGACTCCTCCACCTGCTGGGGCTCCTTCCTTCCACAGGGCACCGTGTCAGAGCTCCTTACCCCTTCACGCATGCCCCATTCTCCCTGCCAGCTGAAAGTCTGAGGTTTCTCGGTGAGAGCTTCTACCCAACAAGCCCCTTGTGCCTCCCCTGCATTCAGCCTCTGCTAGGAGCCCCACTGTCACTCCAGTTCTGCCCTTGTGTGCTGAGGAAGCTCACGCTGTGCTGTGCCTGCTCCAACCAGATGCTGCGTCTGGACCATCCTACGCTGGGAATGTCGCGGCTCCTTTCCATTCCTGAGTCTCCAGCAACACCTGCCTTCGGTCCCTCAGTTGAGTGTGTAAGTATAAAACACTAATATCTACACGTGGCTCCATCATGAAATCACCATAGCTGCGCTCAGAAGCAGAGTCAAATGTACATTCACGTTCCATTTGCGTTCATTTAAAGGTAGAATACTGTGTGCTCTTATGTACCGTGCTCTCCCGTAACATTATATGATCTGAATTTTCTAGTCAGCACAGAGAGACCTTTCTCCCTTTCTCTACAGCCGCATAGGCCTCCATTGTCGGGTGTGCTGAGATTATTCCCAGCTGCCCACTGATGGGCACTTTGGGAGTTTCCAGTATTTTGCTGGGACAATGGAAGTGACTGGCCCAATACCCCTGTCACTTTGCATACTTGCTGAATTACAGATCAGATAAAGTGCCAGAAAGGGCACAACTGGCTCCCAGTTATGAGATCTGCTAGCCCCAGCCCCGCCTCCCCAGGGCTGTGCACAGATGTCTAGATCGGGTGCCCGACCATCTTACCCAGGACGCTGTCATTTCTCACATCTTGTAAGGAGCCACAGCCCCTTTCTGCAGACCTTTCAAACTGAGCTTGGCTCAGTTCCTCCCCAAGTCCCCCAGACTCCCAGCCCTCCAGTCCCCCCAAGGCCTTCCTCAATTCTGGGAGTAAGTAGTGTGTCTGACCACAGCATGATGAATTGTTTTTAGCACAGAGCTAACCCATCTCTGTCCACAGTCAGCGCCCTCCCTACCCCACCTCTCTCCCCTGGGGAACTCAGTGGGTCTTCTCTGTCTCTAAATCACTAAATCTTCTCTTTGAAACTCTCTACAGCTGGAATGGCCTGTCTCTCATTGCTTTCTGGCCTGTTCTGACCTCCTCCTGGGCCTGCTTTCACCCCCCCAAATCCCCCCACCTTCTCCCTACAGCCTGACTCACCCCAGCTCCCATCTGCCGGCTTTTGTCCAAGTGTGCTTAGTCTAGGTCTGTGCTGGGGCGCCTCAAATCTGGGCTCTCAGCCAACTGTCTTCTCTCTTAGCCAGTTCCCCATAAAACCACAGCTAGAGTCGCCCCCTTGGTCCCTCCTGCGTCACCTCCACGGCACCCTGTTGTATTTAGGTCTCATCTATTTTCTCACTTGGTGTTTGTGGGGCCTCTGAAAACAGTGGGCATCAAGGAAATGAGCCCTTCGGTGCAAACCCTGGTGGATGGATAACTCTGCTTCCAGTGGCAGAGATGACATCAGGTAGTGGCCTCTCCCCTGTGTCAGAGTTCTGGAGCCTGCTGGCCTACTGGCCTGCTGCACAGAGCTTCTGCCCCCAAGCCCGGTGACTCATTTCCCCTCTCTGGGACAAATCCTGCTTTTTGTGAGATTTTCCTGGAGCAGTGACTGGGGTAGAACTCAGGTGGCAGTTAGGTTGGGGCCTTATCCCCACCGAGCGCCAGGGACCACTGTGGTCACACAGGCGCTGCTATCCTCCACTCGGCACCCTGGCACTTCGGGGCTCAGTGTACTCTGTGGGACCCTCTGACCCAGTTAGTGTCCCCTTATCTTCATCCTAGCGGGGAAGTCCCAGGTAAGGTAGGAATGTCCTGACTCCAATTCCCTGGGCTCTGTGACGGAGACTTAAACCAGCAGAAGATGGCAGCCAGTGCCGGGCGATGGTGGCGCACGCCTTTAATCCCAGCACTCGGGAGGCAGAGGCAGGCGGATCTCTTGAGTTCGAGACCAGCCTGGTCTACAGAGCTAGTTCCAGGACAGGCTCCAAAGCCACAGAGAAACCCTGTCTCGAAAAACCAAAAACCAAAAAAAAAAAAAAAAAAAAAAAAAAGATGGCAGCCAGTGGCAAGCAGTGAGGGGGTCCTGCCCAGCTGTCCTGTCCTTTGGGTCTCCTGCCAGCCTGTGTGCCCACTTTGTGGTGGGATTCATTCCATCCCCATACCATGAAATTCTGCAGCAACACATGTGCACGTACACACACACACACACACACACACACACCCCTCTATGGGGGGGGGCACCAACTCATCACTACCCTCTAAATTGTTCCTGAACTTCGTGGAGTGGATTTGTTAAGCCCTCTTTTTTTTTTTTTGTCCCCGAGAGACTCAGCTCTGCCCCAAATCCTAGATCAGAACTGGGGTGCAGAGGAGGTGGCCATCATGCCCTTCCAGCCCTGCACAAACCAGGACCTTCTTGTTCACTCAGATCCAAGCATGGAGCTAACACGATGGCAGCTCACACCTCACCTTTCCTCGTGATCAGTTCCAACTTATAGGTGAAGAGACAGGGAGTGCTGAAGGACTAGGCCTGGGTTCATGCAAGGGTGCAGGCATTCTCCAGGTTGGACCACAAGAGCTGGGAAGCCAGGACTGTAACTATGAACCAGAACTAGGGAAGAGAGGGTTTGCAGCCAACAGGAGGGTGAAGAAGCTACTAGAGTCACCCCAACCCCTCCCCCAACTTTGCAGTTCTTTAAATAAACCACTCTACAGTCACTTTTGAAAAGTTTTATATCAAGCTATATAAAAAACAACCACCCTAAATTCTGTCCTGAATACGTGCATACAAAATCAATACTATAAATATAATATTACAAATAGTAATGTCATCAAACAAGTTAACATCTACAAAAATATGAAGGCCTTTGTGCATTGCTTATACCAGCCAGTTCCTGGCCAGTTTTGTAAAGCAAGTACCTGGGAAAGGGGACTTTAAATCCTAGCCTTAAACCACGAGGAATAATCAAGGCTGGCTCAGTGCTGAGAAGGGCTTTCATGGCCAGAGAGGAGAAGAGTCTATGGAGTAGCAGGTGCTTGATGGGAAACAGAGTTTCTGGTTTCCAGGGGTCAACCCTGTGGGACCCACAGGTCCCCAAAGCCAATGACTATTGGATGAAATGGCAAACAGGAATTAAATTTGCAGCTGGACTCAAGGCTGCTGATAAGTCTCCAGGCAGATTCAGTGCATCCCGGGGTCCTAAACACAGCAGGATTGGAAGCAGGAGACACCGCGGTGGCATGAAGGACACAGTAACTGCTCCTGGCTCTGAAGGTACAGGGTCTCAGATTAGAGATGTGGGCAGCCTCTAAAACCTGGGAAAGCCCAGGAAATGATTCTTCCCTGGAGCCTCCAAAGCAATGGGCCCTGACCACACTTAGATTAAAATCCTGTGTCACACCTCGCTGTTTGCAGAACTGGTTCAAACCCACTCTGTGTGTGAAAATGTGGCACAGCATCAACAGGAAGCTAAGCACGCACTTGCAAACCCCATGTTCCTGTCCAGACACACACTCACACAGAGGCAGCCTATGGGGAGTGAAGAAGCCGGTCCTCCCGGCTGAGTGGCACCAGGATCTACTTGCAGGGTTAGGGGCCACTACGGAAGTGGTTCTGATGCTGGCTCTGCCATGGCATTTCATGAGTCTCCTTCCAGGCCCCAGATGCAGAGATTATCTTTTCCTTTTTCCTGTGTTTTCAGCTCTATCTCATTGCAGCCCACGGGCTGCAGGAAGCAGGATGAGGCTTTATCACTGGTCCTAGGAAGCTGGAGGGGCGACTCAGAGCCACCTGAGGGGGGCATCAGGAGACAGACTGTAATATAGAAGGCAAGGGGCACTCTGCCTAAGATGAACCATCATTTACGAGAAATTTCTTGTGGGCTCACAGGTCAGTTTCCCACAGTGGGTTCTGGGCCCCACTGGACAGAGGTCTGCTCAATCCTGGCTGCCAGGTCTTGTTCTAGAGTCAGGGCTAGGCAGGAGCATTAGAAGAATGTGGGAGGTCGGTGGTGGGTCACAGTGCCGGTGCCATGGATCATCCCCAACTGAAGTGGTGCCAGATGTTCGCTGTGTGCTCGTTAGCACATCAGACATCTGGAAAAGCTAACCAACTTTTATAAGTGAAAATAGGGGCCTGCATGGCTCCTGCACCTCGGTGTTGATATCCAGTATATTCCGGATGCTCTTGACTTCGCTGCTTAGTAGATTTCCTTTGATGGCCAGGATGGCAGTCAGGTGGCCTTTGCTGGCAAAGAGAGCATCCTGTCAGTCCCACTGGTCATTACCGACCCTGCTCACAGTCCTTGCTGGCCCTCCTAACTCCAGGCCCTGATACAGAACCTGCAGAGAGTCAGTCACTCTGCCCAGTAGGTGACCTGTCCTCTCTACCTCCTCCACTCCAGCCCATCAGACCTTTGTATCTCTCCGCACACCCTTGAGGTGGCTGACTTCTTCCCATCTAGAGTTTCAACTAAACGTTACCTCTCTAGATGGCTTTGTCCTCTCTGACCAGCACCGCCCCCCCTGTAATTCAAGATGATTCAACTCTACAACCTGGAATTTTCTCTTTCTGCCTCACTACCTCACCATGGTTAACCCTAGCCAGACTGTAAGCTATAGGAAGAGGACTGAGGCCCATGCTTCCCTGTATCCCAGAACAAGGCACAGCATAGATAGAGTCCAGTGTCTGGAAGATTGATAAATGACTGTAGTTGTGGTCCCGGGAGAGAAGGATGAGGGATGGGGTCAGTGCACAGCTGGGTAAGCAGACAGGTGGGTTGGTGAGGAAGTAGAAGGATGGACGGGTAACTGCATGGATGGTTGGATGAGTCGGTGGACAAACGGACAGATAGCTGGAATGATGGACAGATGGGTCAATAGAAGAGTGGAGAGGCGGGTTAGCGTAAGCACAGATGGATAACCACACGGGAAGGTGGGTAGACAGGGAGATGAATAGATATGTGACGGACAGAAGAGTGGGTAAATACAAAGAATAGGTGGGTCGGTAGAGGTGGATGGGGCTTATATGTATATAGGTCAAAATATGTAGATAGATGATTGAATAGGTGGAGTGGGTCAGCCACACACTAGACTAGGCTAAGCTATGTCAACCCCAGTCAAGACCAATTCAAACTTTCCTATCAGAGGACACAGCCTAGGAAGGAACAATGTCCATGGTTCTCAGATAGGTCTTTAACAGGAACAGGAGGGTGCAAGACACAAGCTCATGTTCCCAAGTCATCTTGAGCGTCAGACATTACGATCTCTTTGGTGGAACCTTAGCAGTTGAAGGGGTCATGAGGGGGACTCTCATCCCAGCATGCTCAGAGCATAGTGGGACCTGGCAGGGACAAACCAGCTACTCAGTTCCTGAGGGCCTCTAGTGCTCACCTGAAGTCAGGGTACAAGGTGGCATATGTGGCCACCTCAATCTTAATGGCGTTGGGATCTTGCAGGTGAATAATCTCAGCGATTTTAGGGAGGGCCTGGTTCAGCCAGGTTGCAGTGGATCCCTGGAGGCAGAGGGGTGGTTGGAGGATGATAGCTATCCCTTTCCCCCAGGGGTACTAAGAATGCAGTAGCTGGCCAGGCTTGGGGAGGGTGTCAGGGTAGGGGTGAGATGTGCTCACATTCTGAGTGCAGAAATGCTGGATTACGTCAGCGTTGGCCAGGATGTGCCTTGCCAGCTGCTGCTGCTGCTCCTCGGTCTTGAGGACCAGGCGCCGTTTGCTGAGCCGGATGATGTACTCCTTCACCAGGTGCAGGTGCACAGCCTCCATGAGCTCCTGGGCAGGCAGAAGCCAGGGGAGATGAGCCATCCACTGGCACCTACCCATAGGGCTAAAGCTTCCAAGGCAAAACACCCAGGAATGCATAGAGACAAAAGTGTGAGCATGGGTGCCTGCCTTTCCCGTGTGCATGTGTGTGGGGGGTATAAACACTGCTAGTTGGTGTGGGTGTCCAGACAGCACCAATCCCCAGGTCCATTCCTGAGGATTTCCTCACCTCCCGGAAACAGTCCTTCAGTTCTGAGAACTCAGGCAGCCTGACGCCCACAGCAGTGATGATTTCCTCCAGGGTCTCAACTGGCGTTGCCCAGCGGGTCTGTGTGAACTTCTTGAACAGTGGCTGGGGCAGGCAAGAGGCAGGATGTCTGGTCACGCACAGAAAGGAAGGGCAGCCAGGCGCAGACACCCTCACATAGACACTCATGACCACAGGGTCCCAAGGGCTTTCCAGGAGCTGGCTAACTTTGAGGTTCCTGCTCCAGATCGGAAGCAGAGGTAGTCTGTGTGTACCTTTCTCCCAAGGTCATGCAGCTGTGACTGGGGAGAGGCAGGACAGCCTGTCTGCAGCCCTGCACTCTCTTCCACTGCCCCTCTCTTAAACAAATAAATTTCTGCATAAACAAGGCCTTGTGCTTTGCAGGCTGAGCTCTGTGTCAGGTCATCCGGGGTCACCCATGGACTTCCCATACCCACTGGCCGCCCTTTATACCTTCAGCCCTAAAGTTGAGCAGGGAACCTCTCCCCTGCTTTCTGAGGGGCACCCAGGGCATGGAGTTTAGTTATCAAGGGTCCTGAGCCCCAGGAACTGGGAGCCAGGAATGGTGGGGGAGGGAGTGGAAGATGAATCTTCTCTAGATGTTCCTAGCTCTGTGGCCCTTCCAGGCCAAGGCAAAGTCAGGATGTGCAGTGGGTCAGCTGGAGAGCGGGTTAGGGCCCCATCACGTGGACATCTCCAGAAACACTGCACATCCCCATCTGTACTGCCCACAGGTCTGAAGTGGGGTCTTCTACTACCACTTCCCTAATTTCCCTCCTGTGCCCCGGAATGAACCTCTTGATACCTTTAGATCTAAAAACAGGCTCTGGAGCAGGGTGTCGAAGCCATGAGCCTTAAGATCTTTCAAGGGCTCCATCAGGTACCTCAGGGAATCTTGAGGAATCTGCCATGTCTGCTCCATAGACGTCCTGGAGAGGGAACAGAAGGGGGTCATGACAGCCTGCCCAGTCTCCAACACCGTGATCCTTGGCCTACTTTTCCTGAATCAGGTCCTTGCTCTAGGACCCTCAGTAGCTCTCCACTCCCGGTGGGATCTAGCTCAAGCTTTCCCATGTGTGCCCCGTGCCCCAGGCACACCCCTTCCGCCTTTGGCTAGTCTCTAGCTCTTCCCGCCTTCTGTTCACAATTTTATTATAAAGCTAAACTCATAAATAAATCAATTGCATCCTGCTGACTCCACCCCTCAGCTGTGGCTGCTCCAGGCCCTGTCATTTCCCCCACAGCCTTGTGACTCTTAATTCCCCTTCTGGGCTCCACCTCCCATCTGCCCTCTTTCCATGAGGCAGATCTGCCCAATACTCTCACCAGAAGGACGGGCAGTTGTTGATGTTGGCGATGATGTTGGCTCTATAATTTTTCAACAGTTTGCTTTTCTCTAAAAATTCATCAAAGGTGCGCTGGTAACTGACAAAACCAGAAGGGGCACATTTAGGACCAGTTCAAACACTGGGACAATAGAAGCCACTCCTCTCAGTCTGTGGGTTGCTGATCTCCCCAGGGATCAAGGGAGGGACCATAAGCTCCTAAACATCATATTACAAGCTGTAAAAACTGAGGCTAGAGGGGCAGAGCCCCATTTGGGCTCCAGAGAAAGTGCTGCCTGACTCTAGGGTCCCCATTCTTTCTCCAACCCCCTCCTCTTCCCCAGCGCCCTCTGTAACTGGGACGCCTAAGGGTGGGGAGGAAACGAAGTTAATTCAGAGGACATCATGGGAAGGAGCAGCAAGCTCTCTGTGCCTCGTGGCGTATCTTCTTCTAAGCCACAAACTGCTCAGTTAGGGAGCTCTGCTGATGACAAAGTCAGGGAGCCCACCCGAGGTTCTCGGTGCTCTGGACTGGGGCAGGGCAGAAGACTTGGGCTATAGCTGACATCCTAAGCACAGAGAGACCCATGGTTCCCAGCGGTGCTGGGGTCCTGTGTGCTGCACGCACACACACACACACACACACACACACACACGTACCTCCTCAGCAGTGCAGCCAGCTCCACCAGTAGCAACTGCTTTATCTGTAGCCCCACATTGGAGGTGATGTTCTCAGCCTTGACCTGGCTTTGTGAGATGATCTGTAGGGAGCAGCAGGTAAGTATAGCAGGTACCCTCTAGACTAGGACAGGGGCAGAGCATGGGAGGGAAGTGCATGCTGGAACATGGGGCCCAGCAGAGGTGAGCTGTGGCTGTTCTGTGGGTCTGAGGGGCAGTTAGGGGTACCTGGACAATGTCGATTGCCAGCTCACTGTGGTAGTGGCCATCCAGGCTCTGGGGAGCCACATCCCGGGCCCAGCGCTGAGACTCTAGCTCTAAAGCTCGGGTCATCAGTAACTTCACATTGGTCTAGGAGAAAAGAGGCTGGTTACAGTGGCACTAAACCTGTTACTAAGCTCACGCAGAAGTGTCTGTCTCCATGCTGCCCTCTCAGGCCCCGCCTTCAGCATTTGAACTCACCACCTCATTGGACAGGAACACAGCCTCCAACAACCTGATCTGCTTAGGGGGCAGGAGGCCCCCAAGCCTGATACCTTGTAGCTCCTTGGCCAACTTAGGGCTGTTCAGAATATCACTGTAGGCAGAGACACGGGCATGAGGGGTGCGACAGTGGCAGCCCTGCAGCTTAGTCCAGCTGCAGACATTGTTGCATCTTCTGCCCCTCCCCCTCCCCATGTCAGACCACACTCAGTTGAGTTCAGGCTGGAGTCATCCTGCTTCTTTGTATCACCCCCAGTCACTCCTCCTGCTCTAAACCAGTTACCGAGTCCTTGTGCCCTGAACCCCCGCCCGGCCCCATTCTCTCCTGCCCAGCTCACTGAAAGATCTTCTTCCTTTTCCCTGCTTCTGCCCTGGCCACCAACAGTGTCTTCACCCTAGAGCAGCTCTCAAGTCTGATGTGTCTACCAGGCTTCCCCGCTTGCACAGATGCAACACAGCTTCTGGCCCCCTCTGCCTGTCAAGCCAGCCCAGTACTCCCATCAGGTCAGCCTTGTGGCTCAACAGGAAGGGTTGACCTGGAACTGCTCTGTAGAACTCTCTTGGTGCCTCAAGTGGCCGCAGAATTCCCAGGGGACCTGCCCAGCCTTGGCATGGCCTAAGGCCCTTTGTTTGCCTGGAACATTAGGAATGACCCTTTGCGCGCTTCACCTAGTTTGCATGCACTTGAGCCGCACTTTGGTTAGGGTTAGGGTTAGGCCTCAACATGCCTCCCCTTGGGCTCCGTGTTCAGGCTAGCCTTAGCTTCCTGTCTTGCGACTAGCTGTGCCCAAGTTAGGAGACCCCAAAGCATCACAGGGGCAGGAAGGTGACCAAGCAGGGGGTGTGAGTGCCTGGCATTTCCTGATGAGTCAGGACAAACCAGCAGGAACTAGCTCAGGGCCCAGCTGTCTGTGGACGGCCCTGCCTGTTTTCCCCATATCCTGCTGGCTCTTCACCTATCACCCTGCTGTGCCCTGTCACTGGCCCTCCCACAGGAGGCTGGCTCAGCACCTGGCAAGGTGCTTTACACACTGCTCACACTGTCGGAACCCCCAGTCGGCCCTCCGGTAGACTTTACACTCAGGTCTGGGGAGTCAGTACGAATCCCTGGTCTCTAGTGCTACGGACATTTCCACCCTTTAACACAAGTCTCTCCCCCAGTTGGCGTGATTGACAGGCACATTCTGGGCCAATCAAAGGATGCTGAGGCTGGCCCAGCTGAGTACCAATTGCCCACCTTTGGCACAGTCAGCCTCTCCTCTGAGGTGCTCCAGATCTCAATGGTCTCCCATTGAGATCTCTGTCTATCTGACAGTCCCCAAGAGGGACACCTAGAGCCACTCCACTGTAGCTAGCTCCCTTCCTTGGGGTTGTTAAGACACAACAGCTTGGTTCCCAGAATGTCACTTCTCTTGCCTGGAAAACCACCCTCCCTACCACTTCTTCTTTGTATGTTCTGTCCCCTCCCTGCCTGACAGTACATCCATTAAAGTGTGAACTGACTCAATACATAAGACTCCCTGACTCCCCCAGATCTGGTCTCCTCTCACGCCTGGTGCTCTGGCCTCCTCCGTGTCCAGCTGTGTCTGCCACAGCCCCTCCCTGTTTCATCTCTGTTCAGATCGGGAACCTCCTTGAGAACGAATGACCGAGTCCCTTTTTCTGTGCTTCCCTTTCCCCGATTGCAGAAGTGGCAAAGGTCCAGGAAACTGAAGTGCAAAGCCGCTGGGTACAAGTCCCAGCTCTCTTCCTTCACCCCAACACCGGCTTTCCCATCAACAATGTCTGCCTCTAGTGTCTCAGCACCCCTTCCACAGAGGAGACCCATCCCATCCACTGGTAAAGCTCACTTGGGGTAGAAGTTCTGCACCCAGAGCAGCAGCAAGTAGGTGTCCCTCTCACACAGCTCGAATTGTGCCAAGGTGCACAGGTGGGCCGCGAAGTGCTCGTGGTAGCTCTTGGCATAGGTGTGCACAACGTTGAATTCAGCGGGAAACAGCGGTTTCAGCCGCTCCACCACCACCTCCAGGTCCTCCTTCATGGTGCGGCCCATGTGCAGGAACCTGTTCTCGGCCTCCGAGCGGCCCTCGGGCACCACGGCTGGCTGCGCGTCCAAACGCTCCGCTGCCACCTCCGCCACGCCACCCCTCCACAGTTGCAGCCAGCACCGCGGGCGCGTAGCTGCCAGCACCGCCACCGCGGGTGCCGTGGCTGCCCGACGGTCCTCCAGCTCCTGCTGTGATACCACCTCCAGTGCCTGGTGCAGCCGCTCAGGTGGCGCCTCCAGTGGCCGCCGCAGCACCCGGAGCACCTGGTCACGCAGCAGCAAGTACAGCGCCTCCACCTTGCTCTGCTGGCGCACCAGCTCCTCCTCACTTGTGCCACCCGCAGTTGCCTCAGCCTCCAGCTCCCGCTCCAATGCCAGCACCCGCCACGCGGTCTCCAGCCGCCCACTCTCCAGGGCCTCCTTGACCTCCTCCACTGCAGTGTAGAAACCCGCGTTTAGGATCACAAACCCACCAGAGACAAGAGGAGGCTGAGATCCCAGGGAGGAGGCCAAGGCCCCCGACAAGATGGGGGCAGAGAACCCCATCTCCTAGACTGGTGACTCGCCTAGCTGCCTCACCTGGCCGAGTGGCTTATGACCCCCTCCCCTCCAAATCTGCACCATGCTTCTTTCGTGCTACTCCAGCCTCAGCTACCCCCACAGCCTACCTGTCGGCGGTGGACCATCTAGCTCGGGGCTGGATTTGGGGGGGACTTCAGGATCTGATAATCTGGGCTGGCTCTTTTTCTTCTTCCCTTTGGTGAAGACACTGAACATGTTGGCCAGTCCTTTGGACTTCTTCTTCTCCTTCTTTGCAGACTCTTCTTCCTCCCCATCCGGAGCCATCCCAGTATGCTGGGATGGCATCAAGTCCTCAGAGGAAGCTTCTGACATGGAGCCCTCTGATTCTGCCTCAGATGTGGAGCGTGACTTTGGGGGGCTTCCAGGGAGGTCCAGAGTCCCCGGCACAGACTTCTGGCTAGGAAGCCCTTGGAAGAAAGTCACCATCTTCAGCATTGCCCTGGCTCAGGCCTGCAGATTGGAAAACAAAGCCTTCAGAGATGACGGTGAATGGTTCCCAGGCCCGAGTGCACGGCCAGCTCACAGCCTGGACAGTGCTCTATCCATTTCACCTGGACAGCCACCAGAACCCTGCTTCCTCCTTGGCCGTGGTACTGTGGTGCCCACAGCTTGTCTCCCCAGGCTAGGAGGATGCTGGGGGCCCGAGACCTCCCAGACTGAGGGGGCAGTCTCTGTACTGGGGGAAATCCTCCCTGGACAGTGAAGCTACTTGGAGGGAAAGGGGACATGAGAAGTGAGTACCTTTCTACTCCATCAGACTCTGGTGAGGAGCCAGGGCACAGGTTGCTGTTCCTTGGGACAGCAAGAATGGGTCTAAAAATTTCACAGCCACGCTACGGGCACCCTTCCTACTGAGACCAGCCTCCACCTCCTCCCTGTGCCTCCTTGCACAGTTCTTATCTAGCTTTGGGGTCACAGATATATACCACCAGCAAAGCACAGCTGTTGTACTGGGACCACAAGAAGAATAGAACCTGTCCCCTATCCTTGCTTGGTATTGGGGACTCCAGACTCTGAGCAAAGGACCCTAGGACGCTTTTTACATGTCAGTAAGACACAGGGATGCCAGGGGAGGGGAGTGTCACTGCAACTTGAGTGTGGGACCCACACAGCTGGTTTCCACCTTACACTGCTTGTTTCTAAGTGTATTGACACAGTCTGCACAAAGGCTTGTTTCTATGCCCTTCCTGGGTGCTCATCCTGTCTCTTCTCTCCTCAGCAAGGGTGTTATTTAGCTTAAAATAACCTTGTGGTCAATAGCTTGAGCCACAGCATCTGGCTCAATGGCCGGCTTTTCCCAGGTCTCCACATCCCCTGCTGTATCTGGGTTGTCGGAGCAAGGAAGACCACCAGAAGAAGCATGGCTAGCTCAGAGAGAGAAGCAGACAGCAGCAGGGCCTCTGAGGAAATGGTGTGGCCCGTTATCAGGGGGTGGCCTGCCTGCCCCATCCCCAAGAATACACCACCCAACCTGTAGCTTCAATTCACCAAAATGCCCTGGAGTGGCCCTGAAACAGCCATAGACCCATCATCACGAAGAAGCAACTGAAGCTGTCAATAGGAGGTGCTTGCCCCAAGCACCGCCAGCTCCACAGGCTCAGATAAGGCCACTTTCCCACAGCCTCTCTGCCTCCACCGGCTCGACTACCCGGCCCATTTCCTGAGGGGCTTGTCCCATAACTGGGGCATGGGTAGAGCACCCTGATTAGACAGGAAGCCTGGGCTCCTCCACCCCAGCTCTTGACATCCTTCACTAGGTGGCCTAAACAGAGAGACCCCACTTTTTAAAACCTCACGAGGCCTGACAATTCCACTTAGGACCATGCAGTGTTTAAGGCCTGTGCCACCCTATTTGCCTATCTGCATGGCAAACACCCAAAAAGGCTGGTCTAGCTGATGGAGCTACCCAGCAGCAACCTGAATATCTGGATGCACTTGCCCTTCAGTGCAGGGTTAGTCTGTGGGTACAGGAAGAGGGACCAGCTGTGGGCTCAGCCCTACCGTATCTCACCAGTGTTAGGGCTGAACAACCCCCTTCCTCAGTCGGCCTCAGTGTTGCCATTTGTGAAATGAGGATGAGCCCAGCTACTCACAGTGCTGCTCAGAAGATGTGGCAAAATCTCAGGCCAGGAACTTGGCACCAGATGGACCTCATAGAGTGAGTCCCCTGTGTCCTTGTGACCTCAGGCTCCCCAGGGAGCAGGAGTAATGAGGTGATGGCTCCAGGTGGACCCACTGAGACAGGAAGGGGCCTTCTCAGAGGCACAGGAATGGCTGCAGCTAGTGTCACCTACCTTCATTCTAAATGCCCCTGGTCCACAGTGAGCCTCACTGGTCTTGCAACCTACTGTCTCTTTCACCGGGTGATAGGAGAGCGTGCCCATGTCTCACTAGAGACTACCCAGGCAGAGAATCCCGCGGGTGCTGGAATCTTCCCATTATGAACCTGAGACTCCCTAGCTTTGTCCCCGCTCCTACACCCTGCCTTTCTCCGGAGAGAGTCCTGTGCTGCATGCCGGGAACCGGGTCCCTGGCTCAAGGGGTTCAGAGTAAAACTTCTAAGGCCCTACCAGTGAGTATGCTGGAGGTCACGGGACCTCGGAATATTCCGCGTCTTCTTGGCCACTCAAGGCCATTCCCTCGGGGAGTCCTGCCGGAGATTCTGGGTCAGAACCCGAGAGGAAGCTACACAGAGCGGTAGGGACAGGGGCACGCCGGTGGAGGTCACTTACTGTGTCCGGGACAGGACGCCTTAGTCCTGGCCCTGGCCAGAGCAGAGCCTGAAATAATCTCAGGCTCCGCCCGGGCTCCGCCTGCCCCACGAGCCGTAACCGCGGAAAATCCGCGGGCGGAGGCCAAGGACCCCAGCAAGTCCAGAGCTGGGGGCGGGGCCGGGACGGTAGAGAGAGAGAGGCGGGGTCGCTTCGCTGTTCCCAACGGCCTTGAAAAGCGTGGCAGAGCTGGCTGAGCGTGGCCCGACTGTGTGCGCGCAGGGAAAGGCATCAGGGGGACCACAAGTTCCGCCAAGAGCGGGGCCATTGTCCCACGACGGTCTCTGATTGGCTGCCAAGCAGAGGCGCGCGCCCAGAGTCGCTGTTCCGCGTCACAAAAGTCAGCACCTACTTAGGTCTGGGGAGCCCATCTGAGAACCACTGAGTCCGTGGAAGCCTGGAAGACAAGCCTCTTGAAGGAGGCGTCCTAAAGCAGCGGGGCACACCGATCGTACTGGGATCTCTCAAGACATCTCCTTACCCAACCTTGAGTGTTAGGGGAGGCTTCATCTTTACCCAGAGGTCACACAGGCAGACACCCCTCACTGAGCCTCCTGCGGGGCTCCCACTGGCAAGCTTTCTCAGGCTGGGTTTGGGCCAGATCATTAGAATTCCTCCTGCAGGCTTTTTCTCAAGATCTGCCTAGGGAGGCTGGGGTTGTAGGCCAGTGTAGGAAGCGGGGTGCTTCACTCCTTAGGAATTTCTGCCCCCTAGAAGATGGGCTCACTCAGGAATTTCCCCCTGCTAGACACTAGTTTCTATTTTGCCTCTACTTAGAGTTCGGCTCCTCCCTGTCTTTTGTTTGGGTCCTCTCTTTTTTCCCCTGACAGCCTAAGCTGGACTTTGAAGGGAGAAGAAGGGCAGCTGAGTAGGGGTTATGTTTAGGGGTTGTCCCTGGACACTCAGAACTTCCTCTTCCTCCTGGGAGCAGTGGCCAAGTGCCATGTTTAAGTCGCTCCTGCATCCTATCCCTAGGCAGATTGTAGAAGGCAAGCACAGACAATTGCTGGGCATGGTGGTACACACCTTTAATCACAGCACTAGGGAGGCAGAGCAGACAGACTCTATGAGTTTGAGGCCAGCCTGGTCTACATAGCAAGTTCCAGGTAGGCAAAACTATACAGTGAGACTCTGTCTCAAAAAACTAACATAAAAGTCAGGTGCCACCTCTTCTCCCAAGGTCCTAATGGGTGACATTTTCAAATTAGCCCACAGAGCTCAAACTGGGGTTTATTGCCTCTGTTCCACAGGGCACCCAAAGGAGACCAAGAACTTAGTGTTCCACCACACTTATCCAAAGACAAAAGAGGACAGAAAACCAGGAGTCCTAGCCTACCACCTCCTGGCTGCTTCTTGATACAACGTGCAACCTCACTAGAGTCTCCCCAGCCTCTGCTGTATCCATCCAATTCCTAATTTCAAACAGGTTAGGGAATGGCTGGGAAACTCCACAGGTAGGGTTGAGAGAGGGAAGCCAGACCTTCAAACACCTGCATCCGCTCAGAGCCTCTGGGCTCTATGGGACTGATGTTGGACTGACAGTTTTGTCCCAAGATGCCCACAGTAACATCGTCAGAGTGCAGCCAGGGTTGGCAGGAGCTAGTGCCACCCATCTTGTGTGGGCACACTTAGCGCTTCTCTAAGTTCAGGGTGAGGGCCAAAGGTCCTATGGGAAGTTTCCAACAGAGAAGAAATGTGGAAATTGGGCTATGTGGGTATCCAAGGGCCACAAATCATGTGGTCCTCAGGGACCTAGATAGTTTAACGTCTCTCCATAGTCCACCAAAGGTCAGCCGAGATGGATCCCACAGGAGAGAAGTAGCTGGAACAATTTGCTTGAAAAGCTGCTGTCCCAGCTCCAATTCCTGGCAACTTGAAAGTCAGAGCAACAAAGTCTCCTAGTCCCGCACAGAAGTCCTGTGGGCCAGTGCCTGGCTGGGAGCAGTGGCAAACTACCTGCACACAGCCCAGGGTTCCTGCTCGTTGTTTGTTTGTTTGAGGTAAGAGCTTTATAGCCCAGGCTGGCCTGGAACTCAAACTCTCTCTATTCTATATCCTGGGCACTGGGATAACAGGCTAGCACCATCATGGGCTCTTTCTTTTGTGTGTTTAATTATAATATATACATAACACAAAATGTACCATTTTAGCAGTGCTGAACATTCTGTCTTCAGCATTCAGTGCAGTGTGTGTGCGTTTCTGTATGTGCACATGAGAGTGCAGAAGTTCAGTAGTCCAGAGAGGGCATCAGATCCCCGGAGCTGGAGTTACAGGCATTTGTGCGGCTGCTCAATATGGGTGCTGGGAACTAAACCTGGGTGCTCCTCAAGAGCAGCAGGTGCTCCTCATCAACTGAACCATGGTCCCCATTGTACAACAACTGCTCATTCCCTTCTATCCCCTCAGCCCCTGGCAACCCCATTCTATGGCTATGTGTGCCGCATGGATCCCATGAGTGGATGAATATGGCCCTTGTCCTTTTGGGAATGTGTGGTGAACTGCATGAAGAGAAAGACTAACTCTTGCCTTTATTCAAGAGTGGACCTGGTGTATCCAAGAGTCTGGGTCTCTCCTGTTCTAGGAGTCCAATCTAGAATAGGTCCAGTCTAAAAGAAGTCCAATTTAAGAGTCCTAATTTAAAAAGAGAGTCGTGAATCTAGGCTGTTCTTGCTATATACTGAACAACACAGTAAATGTAACAAACAGGAATGAGCAACTTTGGTCCTAATCTTTTGCAGGAATATTATAAAGGAGAAAAAGAAAATTTTCCTGGCCCTACCTACTCAGACTAGCATACAAAACCACAATGAGAGCCTGGCGATGGTGGCGCACGCCTTTAATCCCAGCACTCGGGAGGCAGAGGCAGGCGGATCTCTGTGAGTTCTACAAGAGCTAGTTCCAGGACAGGCTCCAAAGCTACAGAGAAACCCTGTCTTGAAAAACCAAAAAATAAAAATAAAAATAAAAACACCACAATGAGGTATTATTAAACTGTAACCACAAGTTGCTTCCAACATATTTTGTAGGGGGTTGGGTAGGCTTGGTGTAGGGGTAGGGCATTGTTTACAATTCCTTACTGCTTCTGGCACGTGATCCTAGATCTGGTCAACGTAGCCGGTGCACACACGTTGTCTTGAGTCAAGGGCATGCATGGATTTGTTGTGCAGCAGTTTCCTCAATATTAAAAGCTTCAGCTGTGGAGTGAAGCCCCAAGGACACCCATGGTGTTTCCAGGGAGGTAAACTAACAAGGTGGACTAAGAGGAGGTGAAGCATCCCATGGAGCAGCAAAGTTGATTAAGATGGGAAGTAAATAACTCAGAATAGCTTCAGGAAGTCCCTAAAACTGACCAGATTCACTAGGTTTCTCTTTTTTGGTTTTTTTGTTTGTTTGTTTGTATTTTGAGACAAGGTTTCTCTGTGTAACAGCCCTGACTGTCCCCCGGATCTAGCTCTTGTAGACCAGAATGGCCTCAAACTCACAGAGATCTGCCTACCTCTTCCTCCTGAGAGCTGAGATTAAAGGCGTGTGCCACCACCACCCAGCTGGCTTTTCCTTCTTTAAGCATGTATATTAGCTGTAAGAACTGCTAAGTGAGGCTCTCAGATAAGCTGAGCAGCCTAGAAGATGCTTACAGTTGGGCCTCTTGGGGAAATCAGACCAGTCAAACAGCCTGGAAGAAACGCGTCAGCCAGACCTGCTTCATAGAGGCTCAGACTGCCTGAGCTCCCTGTAAATGACCCTCTCCAGCCTTCAGTGACCTGCCTGTAAGATGCTCAGTAAGAGCTCCAGGTCCCACTGTTAAGAACCATCAGCCATGCTGGTGATGGCTTCTGGTGATAATGGCTGCCTGAGTCATTTTTCCTCTTCTAAGTAACCTTTCGCCCATACACCTGTATGTAACCCCAATAAAACTCATTGGTTCACCAAGTTGGACTTAACATGTACTTTGGTCTGTTCACTGGTAGAGCGGGTGGACATTTGTCCCCAGGAATCGTGTCCTGCAGCAGTCACAAAGGAGAAGTAGGATAGGAAAGATAGTATAGCCAAAGCTGCACATTCAGCTGAGCTTGCAAGACTTAGTTATGTTGGCAGTCCAAAGTATAGTAAGATAGGCTGTACGATTTTTCTTAGAGGCCGGTGCATCCTGAGCAGGTTGGATGTGCAGTGTGGAAGTGGGAAGGATACACTGTAGCAATGATCTGGGAGCACAGCATAACTTGGTTTCAGGTTGGGTGAGACGCTGACATGTAAAGGCAATCTCCAAACTGAATTTCTCCAAGAAGCCGCTCACACGATTGCCTTAGTTAACATGATGTACTAGAGGCCTATCAACTTGCTGAGAGGGGTGGGATTTCCTGCCTGTTCAGGTCCTAATTACATTCGGTCCTATGGATGGACCATATTTTGTTGTCCTCAATGGGCACATTGGCTGCTGTGTATAGTGATGCAGGGACACTGAACTCAAAGGCTCCATTTGGGTCCCAGCTTCTGGTTCATGTGGCTGAACGGTTGACTTTCTGACCTCCAGAGCTGCTAGGCCAGGCTCTGAGTGTTTTGTGGTCAATAGATTTCATCACAGCCATATGAATTAGGCGCTGTCTAATGTATCTTTGCACGGGGAAACTGAAGCACAGATGTGCCCTGCCATCTGTCAGGATGGAGCGGCCCTCTGCTGTCCTGCTCCTCCAGGGCTACTCCGTATTTGAAATACAGCTTGATATATTTAGGCCAGGCACAGGAAAGCCAAGAGTTTCCATGAGGAAAGAGGAGGCGCTGTAGTTCATTCTGTCACGGGATGGAGGGCACCTCTCAATTCCCTTATTCAGTCAACTGATTAAACTATCATAGGCGGCACAAAGGGCCAGCCCAGCTCTGGGCAGAGAATAATAAAGGTGGTACATTGTTGACTTTCTCTCTATTTATTCCCTGGTTGGCTGAGAAAGTAGCTGGAGG